TTTTTCATGCTAAAAAATCTTTTGTTACACTACTTTATTTTATTCCTTTGATTGTACATGTTAAATAAAAGCTTGTTTTCAAAAAATATTTTTTTTTTACATTATTTTATTTGTATTTTGAATTGTGTAATTATTGCAGAGGACCATTTATGTATGTGGATGTGTTTAACATTGCTGGTGCCGGCGTTGAAGGTGATTTTGCTGGTGTTGAAGATGATGGTGATGATGATTGATGATGAGTGCGATATCAGCTGGTGACGGATTAAAGATAATGGTGGCGATGGTAATTTTAATTTTAATTGTCGCAAATCTGTAAAAATGAGAAAATAAATTAAAATGCGCAAATTAAGTAATTTACATATGTATGTACATACCTTAAAAATAATGATCCAAAGTCAACGGCAACGGCAACGGGAACATAAAATGAAATTTGAAATATATATAAAATTATAAAAAATATTTATACTCTAATGGCCTTATTCATAAAAAATAAAGTAGGTTTAAAGAGCTTTACAAAATGACGTTTTCATAAATTTTTCAGTTTATAAATCTGTCGAATTTGAGAGGAAACTGCTCAGCCATGGCGTGCAGGGTACGTACATAAGTATGTCTAGTTAACTGCAGTGATCGTTTGAATGTTGATGATAGTCCATTTAAATTTGTTTGAGTTGATGACTTTGATGTTGTACATATCTGCGGTGACCATTGGTACCGATTTTGGCGGTATAGTACCGCTTTTGAGAAATTGTTTATATTTTCTATGATCTTTGGTTATGTTTTATTCTGTCAAACTGCTACTCCCGCTATGTTGCAGTCTATCACTCTTGTCCAAATTTTTTTAAGGTTTTTACAATTCTTTGTTAAGTGCAACGATTCTTACCTGAATTTAGTGAAATTATAAAAAATTAAACTGAGGAAAGAATCATGGATATGAAAAATATAGCTGTGGACACAGTTGGGAAATATAAACAGAGAAGAGATGCAATCTTTGCTTATTTCCCATTTCGAGTATTTACTTATTGTTTATTATTTTTTATGTAAGTGTAGCCCGTTATCCAACTAAGACCATGTGAGTTAAAATTTCCAACTTTGTACAAAAATTAGCAAAATTCGACAAGGTTCATCAAACTCTTTAATCAGATTTCTTAGAAATATTCCTGAGTATGCCGTTTTGTAGCCCATTAAATTGAAAGTGCAAGTTTTAAGTAGCCAGAACATATATATCCTTGATTTTTGGTAAATTTTTCTTTTTTTGTGGAAGGGGTTGCTCATTTTCTCCATACAAAAAAATGTTTGAAATGAAATTGGATGGAAGAAAATGCGCGAACAAAAAAATTGCCAAAAGTCAACGGCAAGTTCAAGGTACTTCAAACTTGCGCTTTATTACACTAAAATTGAATGGGCTTTTGTAGCCCAAAAACTACAATAGTGCAACTGCATTGCTTTCAACAGTTTTAGAAAATCAGATTAAAATTTTGATGAAAATTTGTTAAAATTCGTCGAATTTTTACAAATGTTCTACAAAGTTTGAAGTTTTGATTTACATGTTTATTTAACTTTTCATAAAAAAAAAATAATAAAAAATTTTAAGTCCACGAATGTAGCCAAAACTTTTTAAAATGTATTTTCCCTATTTATATTCTCGCCACCGTATGTATACATTTATTCAGAGTATGTATTTTTTCGATAATTTTTCAAGTTATTTTCTCTTTCTTGTTTCAGACAAGGCAAATCACTCTCATGCGATTTTTTCAATCCGATGCTGGAAAGCGTATAAGAGCTGCCAATCTGAATCGCTGCTGGCGTATGCAGATGATATTAACATCGTTGACCTGCAATCCAAGAATGTCACCGCAGCATTTTTTAGTTTAGAACAAGAAGCTAACGAAGTCTGGCGTTGAACGAAGACAAGACAAAGTACCTCCCGACAACACATAAAAAGTCTTAGCTTATTGGGGCACACGTCACTGTTGGCGGTCATAATTTTGAAGTAGTGAAGGACTTTATTTACTTAGAATCACGCTCTGCAAATCTTTCATCATGCCCATCCTTTTATATGGCGCAGAAACATGGACGATGTCTAACAAAGATGAGAGGCTTTGGTTTTTTGGTTTTTCGAGAAAACTATTCTTCACAAGATCTATGGTCCCGTTCGCGTGAGCGACGAGTACCGAAGAAGATTGAATAACGAATTGTAAGAGCTTTTTAACGACGTGGACATAGTTAAGCGCATAAAAATACAACGATTGCGCAGGTTTGGACATGTTGTAAGGAAGGATGACGACGCTCCGGAGAAAAGATTCTTCGACTCCGCACTAAAGCATCCAATCCCGAACCATTTTGTTAATCCCGGGATTTCGGGATCCCGGGATATTATTACCATTAATTAAAAAATAATAAATATAAATTATGCTAACAAACTAGTTTGGTAGTCTTGCTTTAGTGCGAATACTACACCTTTTCTAATTGTACTCTAGAAAGCGTCAAATATATTTCAGAAATCATCAAATGTACTTCAGATTAGTCAAACGTACTTCAGATTAATCAATTGTACTTCATAAGACGTAAAATGTACTTCAGATTAGTCAAATGTACTTCAGAATCCGTTAATTGGACTTCAGATTAATCAATTGTATATCAGAAACCATAAAATGTCCTTCAGATCTGTAAATTGTACTTCAGGTGTTAAAGTAGTGCTTTCCTTCTCTTTTAAGAATATTGATATACCCAGTAATTATTTTTTTGAGGGTGATATAGCCCTCGAGCAAACTTTATGAAAAAGATATTTGCACGACAAAAGGAGAACTATGTAAATACATATGTATGTGTATAGGGCGTTCATGAAAAGTTTTTTGAGATAGGGCATTTTTGAACTGCCTGCCGAGATAGGTCGATCTTCCACTCAGCAGTCGATATAGCCTTTCGCTTCATAATACATAATAATAATAGATTGGTGCTTACACATATGTTAGTGTTTGGTCGAGCTTCTCCTCCAATTTGTGGCGTGCGCCTTGATGTTCTCACAAAAAGCGGAGGGATCTAGAGTTTTACGCCGACTCCGAACGGCGATTGTATTTTTATGAGAAGCTGTTTTTCATGGCAGAAATACACTCGGTGGTTTGTCCTTGCCTGCCGAGGCGTGGCCGTTAAGAAAAAACCGTTTTTCTTTATTTTTTTGCGATGTTGCTTTGACCAGTGCTTGAACCCAGGTACTGCGGAGTGGAAGCGCGCACTGCTTACCACTACACCACAGCGGCCTTTCGCTTCATGCTTATCTAAAAAAAAAAAAAAACAGAATTATCCTGGACCTCCTTTTTACAAAATATACACACTTTATTAATTAAAACTACATAATAATTGCCTCAATTGCAAAAAATCGCAAGCATAATGCTATATCTAATGCGATTTATATACATGTACATAGTACTTATGACCATAATAAACATACTATGCATAAAATTGCTTGAAATCTACTTGATATTCATGGTTGAACCCTCATTTGTGGTAAGTGCATTTTTTGGCGAACATTTTATGTATGAAGTACAATTTACAAATCTGAAGTACATTTTATGGTTTCTGAAATACAATTGACTAATCTGAAATACATTTTTCGGTTTCTGAAGTACAATTGACTATAGTGAAGTATATTTTACGGTTTCTGAAGTACAGTTGACTAATCTGAAGTACATTTTATGGTTTCTGAAATACAATTGACTAATCTGAAATACATTTTTCGGTTTCTGAAGTACAATTGACTATAGTGAAGTATATTTTACGGTTTCTGAAGTACAGTTGACTAATCTGAAGTACATTTTACGATATACGAAGTACAATTGGAAAAGGTGTAGAAATAAGAATAAATTTGTGTTTTTAAGCTAAGAAATATAAATGTGTATATTTTATATCAGTTTAAAAAGCTAATTACGAACTGAATAAACTAAAAACTGTGGACCGAAGAAAAAGAATCGGTTAAGAATTGACCAAAAACGGCCGATGCCGATTAATCGGTCGGACTCTACAAATTTTAGCTCGTAATATATTGTGTCTCTTTAAAAAAGAAATGGTGTATGCAGACTTTTGCTGTAAATGAAGTTGACCGCGAAAATAAGTTTACGCGTCGTCGCCGCCAACCATGATTAGAGTCTTTCTTCGCTAAAGTTTTTTTTTATGCGTCATTTTTCGCGGCCAACTTTTGTGTTCGCGCCTTTATTTGTGTCTAGTGAGGAATGTATGTTTCGATAATGCGAAATATATGTTATACATTATGAACTGATCCGACACTTAAGGAAAACATCTTTTGTATATATGTGTGAGATGCACTCATACTCATTTATATATGTTTAGTCCCTTCAAACCATTTTTTCAGAGTATTATGAGTTATAGAGAAATTTTAGAGAATTTGTAAACATCTCCTCCGATTTTTTGCCGAATTTTCTAAAATGAAATAAACTGTTCACACTTCGATTCTTTTACGAAATTTCGGAAGAAAATCGGTAAAGAAATCAAAGTAAAGGCATCCACACACCTATGCGATTCTGTCGCAAGTACGCACACATCTGTGCGGTTTTATCGCAGTAAAACTGTCAATTTATAGGCAAACAAAAACTATTTTTCAAAAATAAAAAATAAAATTCTTAACTTTTCTACATCAAATATGTTTTTTTTTTCTTTTCATTCAATTTTGTTTTAGTGTTGTAAAATCCTCCTATTGACCTTTTTCGTTCTCAAAACGCGGTTTCGGCACGACCAAAAGAAGAACTGTGAATGTTCGAATAAATCGCTGCAGTAAAATCGCATAAGTGTGTGGTTCCTCATTTAAAACTAGGGTTGTACATTTTGTCGCAACAGATTCGCACCGACCGAAGCGCATAGGTGTGTGGGTACCTTAATACTATGTGAAAATTTTCTTGCAGAATTTTTTCAGATTTTTCGTACAAAAATTACTTTACGAGTTCGTATAAACTCCTTCATATAATTTTCTGCAAAGATTCGTAAAAAAATCGTTACCGAAATGAGATGCCAAAGATAACAAGCGTAAACATGTGTAGAATCATAAACACACACATGATATTCCTAGCAGATAGCGAAACCAGAGCACAAAAAGTTATTCTCGAAAGTACGAAAATAGAACATTCCTAAAGTTGCCCTTGTTTAAGCTGCAGCAAGTAGCAGCTGGAATAGAATTCCAAAAGCGCGACGGCATTTCGTCGACAAAATAAATGTGTGTACCGTTATTTCTACTTGCGCATATCATTGAATGTGCTTGCATTTATTTTGATTAGTCGAACATGATTTTAGCGATTATTTATATTCAATATTGTAGGTATTTACGGTTTAAAGGTTATTAAGTGATCTATTTATATTTTGTAATCAATTTTCCAACAATAAACTACACTGAAAATAATAGTAATAACCAGAGTAACGCCTGTTGCTTTCTCATGGCCTAATATGTAGATATGTAGCAAGCGATAGCTGCAATGAAGTGTTATCGTTAGTTTCATGATATTTTATCATGGTTAGTTCTATGCCCTGACAATGGGCCATATGCATAAAACCTAAGCAAATGTTTTTTCTTCAAACTTCAGACCTTTTACTCAATTTGTTCAAACAAATTTAAGTGAAAGGACAACAATTTAAAGAAAAAGCAATTGATTAGTTTTTATGCATACGGCTCTTTAATGTTTGTTGATAGGTTACTCCGGTTTTCATAGCCTCATATGAAAGCAAATATCTAAATAATAATTAAAGGTGTGAACACATTAGTTTAATCATAAAAATCGGCATACTTATGTATATATGTAGCTTAAAAGGTAAATATTAAAAAAAAAGTAATTTAAGTGTTATAAAAAGGAATGGAATGTACAAAGCTGCTATCAACACATTAGCCACAGTCATTTTAATAGTATATTGTGTGGAATAAAAAGCGTTATTGCGTCTTAAACAGTGACAAACAGTTCTATTCAGTTAACGAAGATTTTCGTAAGCGAGGTTTTTTCATAGAAAATGTAGTAGGCCATTCAGTAGTTAGTTGCTATGATGTGTTTGAATATACACACGTACATTAAGTATAATTCCTTCCGTTACTATTAAATCTCTGACTAAATTAAAAATTTGAATAGTGCAAACTATTATTTGGTTATGATGAACAATATCGTTGTTTAAAGTACAAATCCGCGTATCAAGAGAAAGCAAAAACGTATGTGCGGTTGCGAAAATTTTACAAGATAGAGTAAAAGGGCCCATACATGATACCAGCATGCTGGCGCCATCAAGTGTTGGTGCCAGCCGGTTGACCTCCATGTTTCTGTGGTGTGATTGTGCCAGCGACATCAAAAACGATTTGATATTTTTATGATTGCTGATGTGAATGGTGAAATTAGCTATTTTTTAAGTAAAAAGTATTTTGGCAGAAATCTCTTGCACTGTATGAGTCGAGCCATGTTTGTGGTAGATTTAAATTTGCAATAACCACTTGTGAATTAAAAACCCCAATGTTTAACAAAATGGTACTCATTTCGATCTTTTCCGAACCTCATTTGTTAAGAGGCTGGTATGTTATATGCTTCGAGCTTGATAGTGCAATCATTTGATGGTACCAGCAAGCTGGTATTGTGCATTTTCAATTTTAGTATCTCTACCTCTTATGTCTAAATATCGATATTTTGGTATGAATGAATACGACTTGTTGTTAGAAACTTCTAGTGAGCAAATCTCATTTTTGGTACAAATGTCAGTTACGAGGTTTCGCAGAACCACGATACGCGGTTTTGTACTTTAAACGACGATATGTACTCTTAAGAGGTGCATATACTAAGTGTGTCAATTGTTCTTCGAAATTTATTAATATGCTTATCCGTTAAAGCAGTCTTAAACTAAGTGGTATTTTACTTTTGTATTTTATATATAAGTATATATATTTTTTGAAACTATTCGATTTGTGTACCCGAACTAGGGAAGACATTAAAAATCCGGTTCAAATAATATAACACCAATCCAAAGCCTAAAACTATGCCCAACAATGTGACGCGATTACGCCAATGATGTTTGGAATCGTTCATTAGTCTCACAATGCGCAAAGCTGATTCCTTTGTTTCTTCAATACTACCGGAATTATCAATGACAAAATTCGACTGTTCACATTTCTTATCTAATGGCATTTGTGACTGAATGCGCGTTTTAGCATCCTCCATTGAATATTCATTACGTTGCATAAGACGATTTAATTGCGTTTCAGAGTCACTGGAAATGAAATTGTTCAGCATAAACATGATTCATGATTCATTATTTTATGGAATAAAAGTTTTTGTTTTTATTTACCAAGACACAGTAATAATCTTATAGATAAATTCCATAAGTATGCCGGTCTCGAAGAGCAACGGCAAATCCAGCACAATCCAAGAACGCCCACTCATGAAATGCTTAAATACCTGCAGGAAAATTGTGCGATGAATTACCGGATGTGTAATTTGATTTAATTTGCCGCGTAATTGTTTGTCGCCAAAAATGGCCTTCCCCAAGGCTTCACGATTGATTTCTTTAGTTGGCATAAGAATTTCATCGCCGAACACTTGTCGTATTTTGTGCCAACACGTTGTTCCAGGTTGCACAACTGCAAATAAGTTTTACATAGCGTTCGTTAAAATTAATTAATGTTAATTGATGGTAATGATTCAACTTTTTTAATTACATACTTTCCCTGGCTATTTTGTCGGCATCAACAACTGGTATACCATTATCTAGGAAGACCTGGCTCACCGTGCTCTTGCCTGTAGCTATTCCCCCAGTTATGGCCACAATAAACATTTTGTTTTAAACTCGGATTTATTTGTTTAATTCTTTCGTATGAATAAGTCAATTTAGTACAAAACAATCAGCTGATGATCTTGTATTACCAACCACCAAATAAGGCTATAGTGTGGCCAGTCTTCCAATTTTATTTTAGGGCCTGTGCCAATAGGTAACTTTTTTCTCCTCAGTGAGACGGGGTGGAAAAATTTCCTATGGTGCAGTATAAATAAATGGAATTTTGCTGTAAAGTAAAATTTTGACAGTTGAAAACCCAAACAAACGCCCGTGCGAAAGCTTTATTGTTGTGTGTTGCTGAAATTCTTAAAATTTATATTTATTGTACAATTTGCTAGTAACGTACGCTTTTTTATGATGTTTCAGCTTTCTTTTTCATGTTCACTCTTTATTACCGCCAGGCAATATTATGTGTATACGTGGTTATAAGCTGTCAAAATTTTACCTAGCCCCATGAGCTAGGTAAAATTCTGACGTTCGCATTCTCCACGAGAAATCTCAGATTTTTACTTTGATCCGTCAAAATTTCCTCTTTTCTGTAATTTGGTACAGGCCCTTAAGAGCGAAATACACCACACAAGCGGTTTGACAAACCAAGCGAAATTTCCCTTTGCTTCAAGCCATTTGTGCTGTGTATGGGGGTGTTTGAAGGTTTGACGGCGGTTTGTCAAACCTTCAAACACCCCCATACACAGCACAAATGGCTTGAAGCAAAGGGAAATTTCGCTTGGTTTGTCAAACCGCTTGTGTGGTGTATTTCGCTCTTTAGGTTTATTCGAAGAGTGCACCAGACTGCAGTGACTAGCAGTGTTGCCATAAGTCTGGATTTATCTTCAATACGAAGATATTTTTCATATGTAGGGCGTGTGTGAATCGGTGACAAAGTTCTGTGGGGTGAATAATACGTTTACTCTGGTGAGACAGTTTTGCCAATCTACTGTGTGAAATGAAATCTTTTCCAACAGCAGTAAATTTTTGGCAACCGCAAATTTATGCGGAATAAAATATCATGAATTTAAGTGAAATTAATATTTTAAGAAAACATCATTGATTGCAATCCATCAATTTAATTTTAATCCAATATAGCTTTTGAAAGATTAAAGAAATGTATTCACAAGAAATGTTTAATATAGTGTAATACTTCTTAATTTCCTAAGAAGAAAGTAATTTTCTGGTTGACGTTTGTAATTTCGACGCCATGTTGTTTTCTTTGAAAAGTAAAGGGTGCACTTTGAAATGGAGACCCCCGATTCGGGGATTAAAAGTGATACCATTGGAAAGCTGGAGTCCTCCACTTTTCAGATATACCCACTTTTAGGTGCGGGAGCCTTCTAGTTTTTGAGATATTTGGTATTAAAATATTTTACTTGATTAGTAAACGACACTATGTATTAGGCAAAGAACATAGTGACGCGACAAAGATAGCGACAAGACATTTTCGAATAATAGCGACATAAACAAACCTTTATTTTTCAATGTAGCAGCACATAGTGAAGCGAAAAGCGAAGAAAGCGACAAAGAGCATAGCGACGAAAACAAAAAAACATTGTTTTCGTTGTTTCTGAGCTGACTGTTGCTTCACTATGTTTTTGTATGTACAGTTATATTTTATTTATTAAATATTTTGTTTCTTCAACTAGCGTAAATGGCCGCTTGCGTATTGACATAAAACGGATGTGCTACCAGACTGTCAAAATGAAAAATAAAATAAATGAAAGAAAAGAACGTTTGTGAATTTTGCTTTTACTTCTTTTGCTCTATTCGCTGTGAGTAGGGTTCAATCGATAACACTAAGGTTTCACTCTAATGAGTACTTGTACTCAAAAGACTGAAAGTATCGATACCTACTCAGTATCGGCAAAGTATCGAGTACTTACTTGAATTGTTTTCATCATCTCTTTCGAGAGATACTTCCCTTTTTTGTTGTAAAAGGTCGTATGATTACGTGTTATACAATGTTCTGACCGACAACGAAAACACCTTGAAAACAAGTTTTGGGATTGTGGGCTGAAGGCTGTTCACACCGACTGTTGGTGTTTTTCTGCACAAATACAAAACCAAAATACTTTCAATTTTTAATGTTTTTATTGAGCTTTGTACCACGATTGTTTATTAGGAAAATTGAAAAGGCAACAAAGTCTAAGCGGTAAAAGTTATAGCACTATTTCGGAGATCACCTCATCTCCTCATCAGACTTCTTTTTTCTAGACTTCAGCAGGGATCGAACCTGCGAATTCGATGTTCAAAGTCAGAAGCGTTAACCACTGAGCTATGTACATCCCGTAAACTCTTGTTGCTAATAGTGCTATAAGTTCTACCGCTAATAGTGCTATAACTTCTACCGCTTAGCCTTTGTTGCTTTTTCAATTTTCCTAATAAACAATCGTGGTACAAAGCTCAATAAAAACATTAAAAATAAAATGTTAACAAGCCACAATAACATTGACAAATACAAAATACTTTTCCTTCAATTTCTTTTCATTAACAACCATTTACTTCCATGCTTATTTTATTTTGGTCAGCCAATTAACAACAAATCCGAAATGGCGTATTAAAGATGATAAAATGTGGAGGTCATATAGGTCGATAAGTAATCGAAAAAAACTAGTGCAGACACCGATTAGAATGAGTGGAACGTGAGTTTTTAAGTGGTTTTCAGCGAAAACTTGTTTTCGTTTGACAGATTTTACATTGACGAAAACACAAGTTTTAGGTCGAAAACCAGTTTTAGCAACGAAAACATGTTTTCGATGTCGGTCAGAACATGGTATTATCATGGTTCAAAACATTGTATGTCAAAATCAAATAAAAAGCCAATAAAGTTGCAGGTATAGAAAACGTATATATGTATTTAAGTTATTTAGCAGAGAGCGATCTGCCCGGTTGAGAAGCAGCCATTTGTAATAGCAATTGAGAAAAAAGTGTGTGACATTCGTAATTTTGAAGTTTGCTATTTCTGTTTTGCTTCTTTCTTTATGTGTATTTTGTCGGTGGTTTATTTCAGTGATTTTTAAGTAATTTTTTTGTGCAAATGTAATTAAAATGAAGTGCGTGGTGATTGGATCCAACCACACGTACAAAAATAATAAATTGGTTAGCACAAACATATGCACCACATTGCTTGCATTTCTTTTTTATGCTTCGTCTTCATATTCTTTGTTTACTTTGCACAGAAAAAACATGGCGCCGAAATTACAAACGTCAGCCAGAAAATTACTTTTTTCTTTTGCTTCATCTTGTCAGATCTTGTGGAATTGGATCATGGTGTTAGCACGCTTGCAAAAAAAGTTTATGTCTGCAACTTGAAGCAAGTGCTTGATCGTGTAGTGCCCATGTTATCAGTAAGTAAACTTAATGCAACCCTATGCTACGCTTGGTTGCATCGCTGTAATGGTCGCCATTTTATTTCCGTGAAATCTTTTTGTGGTTCGGTGTGAACGGGAGATCGTGCGCGATTAAAATTAAAATTTCATCATTTTTAACAAAGTTAATTGAAACCCAGAGGGCTTAACCGCTGCTTTAAAGTGAAAGCTTAACTTATAAAAAGACACCACACAAAAACAGATCACCATGGTTGATAAAATTGATATGAGTTTGGACGAAATTATTAAAAGTCAAAAGCCAAAACCTATTGTCGGACGTGGTCCTAGCATAACTCGTCGTGGAGGTGGACGACCAATTCGAGGCGGCGGTAATGCTGATGGACGTCGCCGACCCGCTGGTGGCGCTACATTAAAAGGACGTAATCGTGGCGGGGGAATACAAAAGGCTAAATTCGCAAGGGTAAAGAAATTGAAATAAAATGAATCGAAATTAAAATGGATAACAATGCGTGGGATTTCATAAATTGAAAGTAAAATTAGCGTTCCGCAGTAAAAAAAAAAAACATTTGTGGAGTCATGTGCCTCATTTTGCTAGACTTAGTTCTGTTTGGTTATTTTTTATCAACAAACTAACATGGCCAACAGAGTAAAAAAATAGCAACATACATTTCCCATTGTGAATTTTCTTTTCGAGAAATATACAGAACAAAGATGTCAATAATGCATAAAATGGCTGCACAACGGGACTTGCTGAAAACTACAATCTTTTTGGATGGCGGAAAATGAATTATATTCGAGAAGAGGGCTGATTCAATGCGAAGAAATAGCGTTGCTCTTGTTTGCGTTGGCCCCAACAGGAGCTCAACATATACCTCAAAGCATATTGCATCAATAACCATTTCCCATATAGTTATTTTATACTACTTTAACCCGTAAAATTGAACGATAACTATTTTAATAGTATTGTAAATTTCTGCTTAGAAATATTATGTTTAATTTTCTTTGAATTACATATTTAATTTGATTTGATTTTACCGTTCGACTGATATGTCAGCGGTTCCCACTACGTTCACTCGTTGGCGCGTAAAATGCACTTTGTGCTACTGACCGCCACTGCCACTTCGGTAGGCGTTAGTGACCAATGGTCATATATACGTAAAGACGCATTTGCGAGTGAGGTTGTATAACTGCAGCGACGCTATGGGAGATCGTAATCGAACCAGAACATAAAATTCCTTAGATCGCAAAGTCCAGAACAAAACATCAACAACAACTGATCACAAAAAGAATTCCATCAAAACCTACTACTCCTACTTCCTCTAGGGCGATGTAAACAGCGCATGGAAACACGACATGTACGACGGGCCAAAACGTGGTATTTTAAAAGGATCATCTGAAGTAGCAAAGTTACTTGTCTCCAACTTGGATTATGGTGTATCGGACTCGGATATTCAGGAGTTGTTTGCCGAATTCGGGCCGCTGAAGAAGGCAGCCGTGCATTATGATCGCTCTGGACGCTCATTGGGTTTGTTTGAGCTATATTTATTTGTACTACTTCTTTTAACTAAATTGTTTCATTGTTTTTTAAAGGTACTGCTGATGTGGTTTTCGAACGTCGTTCAGATGCACTAAAGGCTATTAAACAATACAATGGCGTACCCCTTGATGGCCGACCAATGAATATTCAATTAACCACATCGGACGTTTCAGCTCTGACAAGAGTCGGTCGCATTGGCGGAGGTGTTGGTGGTAGTCCAATCAAACGCAGAACAGGTTCAGCCCCACCACCCAGACGTGGAGGTGATGATAGAATAAATTACAAAGGCCTTTTGCTTTAACTTACTTGTAATTGCAGCAACTAGTGGAGTACGCCGTGGCCCACCTAATCGTAGAGGGGCTGCCGGGCCCAAACGTGGTGGGCGTCCCAAAGTACCAGAGAAAACGGCAGCTGAATTGGATGCCGAACTGGACGCTTATGTTAATGATATGAAAATTTAGAAATAGTCTTAAGAAATTATTAGCTAAGACACGACTTGATTAATATATTTGACATTGACTTTAAAATATGT